GTACAATGTATCCCATCAACAGACGTACAATGTATCCCATCAACAGACGTACAATGTATCCCATCAACAGACGTACAATGTATCCCATCAACAGACGTACAATGTATCCCATCAACAGACGTACAATGTATCCCATCAACAGACGTACAATGTATCCCATCAACAACCATCAACAGACGTACAATGTATCCCATAATCCCATCAACAGACGTACAATGTATCCCATAATCCCATCAACAGACGTACAATGTATCCCATCAACAGACGTACAATGTATCCCATCAACAGACGTACAATGTATCCCATCAACAGACGTACAATGTATCCCATCAACAGACGTACAATGTATCCCATCAACAGACGTACACTGTATCCCACAACAGACGTACAATGTATCCCATCAACAGACGTACAATGTATCCCATCAACAGACGTACAATGTATCCCATCAACAGACGTACAATGTATCCCATCAACAGACGTACAATGTATCCCATCAACAGACGTACAATGTATCCCATCAACAAACGTACAATGTATCCCATCAACAACCATCAACAGACGTACAATGTATCCCATAATCCCATCAACAGACGTACAATGTATCCCATAATCCCATCAACAGACGTACAATGTATCCCATCAACAGACGTACAATGTATCCCATCAACAGACGTACACTGTATCCCACAACAGACGTACAATGTATCCCATCAACAGACGTACAATGTATCCCATCAACAGACGTACAATGTATCCCATCAACAGACGTACAATGTATCCCATCAACAGACGTACAATGTATCCCATCAACAGACGTACAATGTATCCCATCAACAGACGTACAATGTATCCCATCAACAACCATCAACAGACGTACAATGTATCCCATAATCCCATCAACAGACGTACAATGTATCCCATAATCCCATCAACAGACGTACAATGTATCCCATCAACAGACGTACAATGTATCCCATCAACAGACGTACAATGTATCCCATCAACAGACGTACAATGTATCCCATCAACAGACGTACAATGTATCCCATCAACAGACGTACACTGTATCCCACAACAGACGTACAATGTATCCCATCAACAGACGTACAATGTATCCCATCAACAGACGTACAATGTATCCCATCAACAGACGTACAATGTATCCCATCAACAGACGTACAATGTATCCCATCAACAGACGTACAATGTATCCCATCAACAGACGTACAATGTATCCCACAACACAAAACATCCAAGAGATAACTGTGTTCAGCTAACAGTGCTCAAGTTAGTGTGCTAGAGAGGAGTGGGGGATCCTAACCTGACCAGTGTAAAACGAACAATGGCTATCTATTCATTTCTTTCACGTTTTAACTGGTAGGCTCCATTATAGCTTACAACAAATATATTATACGCTCAAGGCCTCCCAGAACGAAGTCTCAGAATTTAAGTTTTGAGCAGAATTTGAACTTACCTGTGGACAGATTTATTAAGAAAGCTTCCTGGCCAAGTAAAGCAGGTTGCCTGATTGGATTACTAAATGGCCTTTTAAATTTGTTTAGTTTTAAGTAGATGCTGGGGCACATTAGTTTATACGAATTTGAGTTAAAGGTATAATGTTATACGGGTGAAGGGGTGAGAGAGGGGTAGGGCGAGATCGGGTAATGGTTAGAGAGGGGTGTGCTGAGAGGGGTGGGGTGAGAGGGGTCGAGAGAGAGCATTTTGGATAAGTGTTGAGGTGAGAGAGGGGTAGGTAGAGTGGAGGGGGGGGGGGCTCGGTTGAGGTGAGAGAGGGGTGGACTGAAAAGGGGGTTGTGAGAGGGGTGCATGAGATAAGATGCTATAGGTGTGAGGTGAGAAAGGGGTGGTATGAAAGAGCTGCAACTGTATCCCCTATTTATAGAGTCAGGGTTATGAGAAGAAAGCTAGCATTGTTAAGTATAGATGTGTTTGTTTACATTCCACAGAAGAAAGCCCATACTGTGAGCGGTCATAGAGTAAACTGATGGTTAACATAGCTCACGCTTTCTTCAAACTAAGGGTTGTTAATGTAATATAGATTTTAAAGTTATCGTTCAAAGTAATTTACATTCGTAAATAAATAGCCTTCAAGCACCATTTTCATTAAAACGAATTATGTAACATAAAACGAGATTTTAAAATTAACCCTACCCCCCCCCCCCCCCCCCCCTTTTTTTCAAACAAAAAAAAACATGTTTCTTTATATGTCAGCCAATTAGCAACATAAGAAAGAACGTAGAAAACATTCCTAAGGCTAAGGTTATGTGTAGGCGAAGATAACTGGTTTGGTTTAACAGCTTTTATTTAACTTACGCCCCCCCTCTCCCTGCGCTAAGCTAACGTTTATCATCTGATAGGAGTAGCAGGGCACGAGAAAATATTGTAAAAACAAACTTACAGGGAAACTAACACAAGGTGTATCCTGGAATATCTAAACGTACTCGGCAGAAATCACGAATTCGATGTGTACCAGAGTCGAGGCCAGTCTCACGTCCACTCCTGCAAGTGTGACGAGGTGGTGGGTAGTTCACAGGGAACACATTTCGGTCCGGCAGATTTAAGTAGCAGATGTTTGGACGGGATTAGCAAACGAAAACTGTCGCCTGTCCGGCAAAGCTGTACGGTAAACAGGACCCTTTGCGTTATGAATAGCTGCTAAGTCAACCTTGACCTCACATATTTGAGACGTATTGTTGACAACCACACCAGCCAACCAACAAACGTCAAGAAACTGGAATGTTTTTTTAGGATTTTTTAATATTACCGCCTTTACATCTAAACATGCTTTATGTTTATTTAAGATACATACTCTAAAATATGACAACTTTTAGAGCACACCATTTAAAACTCGAATAAAAACGTGATATATACAAAATAAGCAGTGTTCTGCCATGCGTGGTATTTGGGTCACTATACAGTACCTGACAAAACTCAACCCGAAAGGGTTGTGTTTTATTGTTTAGGTTTTTTCCTTTGCATCCTTTCGTTTTGCTTGAAGTGGTGTCCTGTGTTAGGGTGTTTAGAACAGTGGTGTCCAGAATAGGGGTGTTTCGATCAGGAATGGACAATACAGGGTGATGAGTATAAGGGTGAATACAACACGAATTACAATTACTGCTGCACATTTAAGAAAGAAAAACTGTTGTGCTTATGACATATATAGTGTAGTTATTGTAAATATGAAGCGACACGAGAACAGTGTCGCCAATAGCTGTAACGTAATGAGAGACAACTATCATTATTGGTCGGGGGGGGATCTATAGCCCCTCCCCCTAACTCCTAACACTCCCTGCCTACACCACTAATACCTAACATTAATGCAATTTGTACCTACATTCAGGTGTATTGTCGTGTTTACCCCACACACGTCAAGACAGGTAACATCCCAAGAGTACCTGTTAATTCATTTTTAATTACATCTACCTGTGCATGTTATTCAATGAAGGGGTATTGAATTATGACATCATGTACGTAAGACTGTGTTTAAATTGTGGTGTTATCTGATGAGGGTAAGGGTTTAAATTGTGATTTTATCTGATGAGGGTAAGGGTTTAAATTGTGGTGTTATCTGATGAGGGTAAGGGTTTAAATTGTGATGTTCTATGATGAGGGTAAGGGTTTAAATTGTGATGTTCTATGATGAGGGTAAGGGTTTAAATTGTGATGTTATTTGATGAGGGTAAGGGTTTAAATTGTGATGTTATTTGATGAGGGTAAGGGTTTAAATTGTGATGTTATTTGATGAGGGTAAGGGTTTAAATTGTGATGTTATCTGTTGAGGGTAAGGGTTTAAATTGTGATATTATCTGTTGAGGGTAAAGGTTTAAATTGTGATGTTCTATGATGAGGGTAAGGGTTTAAATTGTGATGTTATATGATGAGGGTAAGGGTTTAAATAGTGATGTTCTATGATGAGGGTAAGGGTTTAAATTGTGATGTTCTATGATGAGGGTAAAGGTTTAAATTGTGATGTTCTATGATGAGGGTAAGGGTTTAAATTGTGATGTTCTATGATGAGGGTAAGGGTTTAAATTGTGATATTCTATGATGAGGGTAAAGGTTTAAATTGTGATATTATCTGTTGAGGGTAAAGGTTTAAATTGTGATGTTATCTGATGAGGGTAAAGGGCGTGTTGTTAAAACATATGCAGCTAAAGGGAAGATTTACGCATGAAGAAAATAATGGGCACCATTGCGTGGCGAAATAAACGGAACCTCGCTCTATGGATCAAAGGAGAAGAGGTGTGGGGGGGGGGGGGGGGGCGGTGGCGTGTTTGTCGTCCACATGTGCTGTGACTAGCGGTATACATCAGTAAAGACTAGCACGGAAAGAATGCCTCCAACATTTGTTGTCCCGCAACAGCCAGTCTAAATCTCACACGGTTATTGTGTCCCATTATAAACCACTGTTTGCGCCATATTTATGCCAAACTAGGCCCACATTATGTAAGCTGCGAGGTTAGCCTGGGATAACAAATAGCTTGCTACCCAAATGTCATTAAGAGAAAAACATTTTTAATTTAGTTCACGGGGATTTAAAAATAGGAACACGGCCGGGATAATAACCGCCATTGTGGGGTTTTATAAAAGGAGCTAATACAGCTGCCTTAAAAGGTCAACTGTCATAATGCATTGCATAATTTTTGACACTTCCGTGAACGATTTGTCACAAAGAAAGAGGCGCGGATAAGTTGTCTAGTGTATGCGGTGGATGGTTCATGCGGAGAGGGGAGGGGCTGTGATAAAAGGGAAGACCGAAAGCAAATATTCAAATGACGGCCTAACGAGTGATGGCTAAGGACACTTAGGTACCTCGTTAAGGCTGTTTAGTTTCTATTTCTGTTCTTGTACAAGCTAACCGGCGATCAGGTACCTGGGGTTTAGCCTAATCTGCTTCTTAAGGATCATGGGCTACTTCCGACATTGCCGAGTTTAAACTTAACTATTTTAAAATTAACACCTGTGGAGGGCCTATAAAAAATCAAAACCTATATTTGTTATATTTTCTTCCTTTATTAATGATTCATAGGTGTCTGCGAGTATTAGGTTGGTTAGCCACATACAAATTAAGAAATCGAATCACTAAAGGAATCTGTAAATAATTCGATTTTAAATAATGGGGTAATTCTCTAGTTACACGGGTGATTCCCCTTGTCTATCCACGTCCCCCATGAATAGGGGTATCTGATGTCATGATACAAAGGTCGCCGTTCGCACCTCTTAGATTACATAAAGCTTGGTAATACATGAAAAGTATAAGCATGTGATTCATTGTTAATATTTTGAAAAAAACCCCGCATGTTTTATTCAAGACTAATTATTTACGGTTTAGTGGACCATAAAAACTTGGAGTGATTGTTAAACCTCATAGATAACTGTCTATTGTGTTTGGAATAGAAATCATTTAGTAAATCTGCCGTCTTTTCAAGCATTGGCCCAAGTTCTTTCCCATTTTTCGTTTCATAGAATCGGGGAAGGGCGATAATTCGTTCCATTTCGTCATCCGGTAGAGGCGCTGTGAATGCAAAACAATCCAAGGTCATGCTATGACATCATGCGACTGCTTAAAAGGGAAGTAACTCATGTAAATAAGTACTTGTAAACAAAGCAGTTATCTACCTTTTTAAAGGCACTATAAATGTTCTTGTGCTTAAAATGTACGAAAAATAGGTGTGAAAAAGTACATAAATATGTTTTATTTCGCCCATTTATTTGGCTAATAATTTCTTATTCATAATTCCACGAACTAAAACAAAGCATAGATAACTATAGCACACGTTGTAAACATGAAATGATAAGATGTTATGACATAAACATCAGTAGGATATACATTTTGACATTGTGCATTGTGTCCGTATTCAAGGAATAAGGGTCAAACAGCAACATTCCCAAAACGAAAAAGATATATTAAAACAACTTAGCAATATAAGTTCCCTTTTTCGAACCTTACGTTCCATAGGGCAAGAGTTCATATGTAACCTCGGCATACGAAGGTACAGTGTGTCAGCACTATGTCCGAACGCCTTTACTTTCCCTAACGTGAGTTAGCTATGCAACAGAGCTAGGCGGACTCGGTGACGTTCTACTAATGAACCTGGATTAGAGCTCGATACTTTCGGATTAGCAGTCTAGCACTCTACCGCTAGGCCACGCCGTTCCATAACCCAGTAAACGTAATTAAAATTTCCTAATTAGAACGTGATTGCTCACTTCTTCCGTGCATGTGCTTTCTCGGTGTCTTCTAGGAAGGAACATTCAAATTAATGAAACAAAAAAATGTACTCCCTTCCCCCCCCCCCCCCCCGCTGCCCACACACCTCACTTTTAATGGTGCTAAACGTGACAGTTGTACACCTGGATACTCACACAGTCCCAGAAATTTGTAAACACCTTCCAGGTGAGTCCTGAGGTTGAGAGAGTACTCCTCGTTGGTCATGACCAAAATCTGGTTGGGCGGGAAGACCTTGAGCCACTGCTCCAGAAAGATGTCGTACATGCCGACAATTAGACGAACCTTGACAGAAATATTGTTAAATAGACATAATTAATGGTTTTAGTTATTTAAAATAATTTTCAAAACTATAATCTAGTTGTTTTTTTTAAGTAGCTTTATAGATGCGGTTTTGTCGATGTCAGGTGCTTAAAATAAATGTGCAAGTATTATCAGATGGGGATAATCTATAAATAACGTCATGCTACCACAAGATGCTACCACATGCATAACCCCATCACTACAAGATAAATAGCCGCATCACCCCATCACTACAAGATAAATAGCCGCATCACCCCATCACCACAAGATAAATAGCCGCATCACCCCATCACTACAAGATAAATAGCCGCATCACGTCATCACTACAAGATAAATAGCCGCATCACCCCATCACCACAAGATAAATAGCCGCATCACCCCATCACTACAAGATAAATAGCCGCATCACCCCATCACCACAAGATAAATAGCCGCATCACCCCATCACTACAAGATAAATAGCCGCATCACCCCATCACTACAAGATAAATAGCCGCATCACGTCATCACTACAAGATAAATAGCCGCATCACCCCATCACTACAAGATAAATAGCCGCATCACCCCATCACTACAAGATAAATAGCCGCATCACCCCATCACTACAAGATAAATAGCCGCATCACGTCATCACTACAAGATAAATAGCCGCATCACCCCATCACTACAAGATAAATAGCCGCATCACGTCATCACTACAAGATAAATAGCCGCATCACCCCATCACTACAAGATAAATAGCCGCATCACCCCATCACTACAAGATAAATAGCCGCATCACGTCATCACTACAAGATAAATAGCCGCATCACCCCATCACTACAAGATAAATAGCCGCATCACCCCATCACTACAAGATAAATAGCCGCATCACCCCATCACTACAAGATAAATAGCCGCATCACCCCATCACTACAAGATAAATAGCCGCATCACGTCATCACTACAAGATAAATAGCCGCATCACCCCATCACCACAAGATAAATAGCCGCATCACCCCATCACTACAAGATAAATAGCCGCATCACCCCATCACCACAAGATAAATAGCCGCATCACCCCATCACCACAAGATAAATAGCCGCATCACCCCATCACCACAAGATAAATAGCCGCATCACCCCATCACCACAAGATGAATAGCCGCACCACCCCGGTACCGCAAGATGAATAGCCGCACCACCCTGCTACCACAAGATAAATTGCCGCACCACCCCACTACCACAAGATAAATAGCCACACCACCCCGCTACCAAAAATAGCCGCACCACCCCACTACCACAAGATAAATAGCCGCACCACCCCGGTACCACAAGATAAATAGCCGCAACACTACCCTACCACAAGATAAATAGCCGCACCACCCGGCTACCACAAAATAAATAGCCGCACCACTACCCTACCACAAAATAAATAGCCGCACCACTACCCTACCACAAGATAAATAGCCGCACCACCCGGCTACCACAAGATAAATAGCCGCACCACCCGGCTACCACAAGATAAATAGCCGCACCACCCGGCTACCACAAAATAAATAGCCGCACCACTACCCTACCACAAAATAAATAGCCGCACCACCCCACTACATCATGATAAATGGCCGCATCATTCCGCTATATATAGGGCCTATCGAAAAACCGCACCACCCGCCTGTTTGAATGGAGAAGGAGGGGGTATTAAAATCTGTACCATCTCATCCTTGAACCCATCCCCCTTGTTATTACAGTCTATTATAACTTGATGCAAGCTTATCAACGTGTACACAGACACGATGACGTACAGGGATCCTCATATGCAGCTCCTTGTCCATCAGACAGGCGAGCTGGGTGCGGCGTGAGTAGCAGTCGTCCAGCATGTCGATAGACCGGCGCACGTCTTGGTGGAAGCCTTCCACGGACAGGTTGTGCTCGTGTTTGAAGATATCCAAGAACAGGTAATCCGAGTACATCCTAGACCAACGAGAAGAGAATCGATTCAGTGATATCGTACGGTGTACTCGTGTGTAAGTTGCTGAAGTCGATTACATCCTGCTTGTCATAAATTTTATCTAATTTATTGTGGTCCAGGAACTGGGACTTGTTGATACAAGACTTGGGATTGTAGCAAACAAATGGCGGGGGAAAGAAAAGCGATGTAAGCTGACTTTGTTTACTTTAGATAACATGTTGTGCCAAAGTATTGCATAGAAATATGTACAGTGTGCATCTAAATCATGCTTAGAAAGTCATATACATGTAAATCTTGAATGCAGTGTTGCATGTGACCATCTGACGTCATCAGTAGACACAAGTTACCGAGATTTACTTAGTCATCGCTTTGGGGGTCCTACAAAAAATGAGTTTTACCTTCCTACCCCCCCCCCCCCCCCGCCCTCCAGCAAATCGTAACCGTAAGTTCGACCCGTTTGAATGACGTCGCACCATCATGACCCACCACGACAATTGCATTTTTTATTTATTTTTAACGCAGAAATTTCTGTCAATAACAGGGTCTAGATAAAGTAGCCTATATTTATACATTTTATTAAAATTTAGGACTCAGCACAAAACAAAATCTCAAAATGTGAAATAACGCCTAAAAAGTGACTTTCTATAATACCAAATTAAGATATCACACTCTCTTACGCCCCCCCCCCCCTCCCCATCCTTCGTCTTACTCCATCACCAAATTCCATTATTGAACTAACTTTAAAACATCTTACGCTATTGAAGTTGGTGTTACTAAGCTCTAACTTTAAAACATCTTGCACTATTGAAGTATGAGTTACTAAGCTCTTACTTTAAAGCTCCCACCCGCTGATGTCGTCTGGATGTTCATATAACCCACCTTTTAGTTGGATCTCTAAAAATAACGATTAACTTGGCGTCAGGCGTCAGATGTTTGATGCAGTGCGGCGTCAGGTAAGCGTCCTCTGGAGTCTTGTCCTTGTTCTGTGGGATTCTATCCCAGCCCGTTAAATCCCAGAACACAGTGGGACTTCCTTCACCTGCAGACGACCAACAGATCTACCAGTGGGTTTTATTAGGACAGGTAAACATTGACATGAAGCTACGGTCACTGGCTTCAAACGTTGTTATAGCACTTGATATAAGAAATGAACTAACATCAGGTTGGAGAAATGTGGGGTCTAATGGATGGTACGTATGAGGGATGTTGTTGTATGTAGGATACTGACGTATATAGTTATATGTAACATGTTATATAATAGTGTTTTTTTCTGTAAAAATGTTGGATTATTGTGTATTGGTGTGAAATGTGGGATACAGACGTATCTAGTTTCCTGCAAAATGTTGGATATTAATGTGTTGTTAACTGTAAAATGTTGGATAATGGTGTATCTACCAATAGATGTTGGATATTGATGTTATTGCCTGTCAAATGTTGGACGGTTCATGACTTACCAGTAATGATTGGGTGATATTCCATACCATCCTTTTCAATGACTGTTTTCTCGATTTTCCTAGCAGGCGAATCAAAATGGCTCAAGTACCAATCAAAATGGCGAATCTCATCACCCTGACTCCAGATATCGAATCCTGTGGTGAAGCAAATACAAATTAATGGCACCACGCAAACTATGTTGCTGGTGAAGTAGAGTCAAGCAAATCATTTGGCGACACAAGCTGGCGTAGTCTATTGCTGGTTGTTTCTAGCTTTGTGTTATTGTATCAAAGTACTCAGTGAAATCCTAGCTTTGTGTTATTGTATCAAAGTACTCAGTGAAATCCTAGCTTTGTGTTATTGTATCAAAGTACTCAGTGAAATCCTAGCTTTGTGTTATTGTATCAAAGTACTCAGTGAAATCCTAGCTTTGTGTTATTGAATCAAAGTACTCAATGAAATCCTAGCTTTGTGTTATTGTATCAAAGTACTCAGTGAAATCCTAGCTTTGTGTTATTGTATCAAAGTACTCAGTGAAATCCTAGCTTTGTGTTATTGTATCAAAGTACTCAGTGAAATCCTAGCTTTGTGTTATTGTATCAAAGTACTCAATGAAATCCTAGCTTTGTGTTATTGTATCAAAGTACTCAGTGAAATCCTAGCTTTGTGTTATTGTATCAAAGTACTCAGTGAAATCCTAGCTTTGTGTTATTGTATCAAAGTACTCAGTGAAATCCTAGCTTTGTGTTATTGTATCAAAGTACTCAGTGAAATCCTAGCTTTGTGTTATTGTATCAAAGTACTCAGTGAAATCCTAGCTTTGTGTTATTGTATCAAAGTACTCAGTGAAATCCTAGCTTTGTGTTATTGTATCAAAGTACTTAGTGAAATCCTAGCTTTGTGTTATTGTATCAAAGTACTTAGTGAAATCCTAGCTTTGTGTTATTGTATCAAAGTCCTTAGTGTCAAAGCTGTGTGTGACTGGGTATAGAATTATTTCATAATATGGGGGGTCGGCGTGGTCGAGTCGGTAAAGCTCATGGTTGCTAAACCGAAAAGTCTCGAGTTCGAACCCTCGGGCAGATGAGGCTCGTTAGCTGGGGGCAGCCACTCTTCTATGAGAGACAACTCCAAAATTAAACAACTGCTGCCTTGTAGTTTGTTCTTGGTTGGACAAAGGCTATGGAAGCAAATCCAAAAAGAAAAAGCAGGCTGAAATCGGAGTCAATGGCCTCAATGGCGCAAAACCAGTTGACACGTAACGCTTAATTGTGTTGAAGGTGTGGTCGAGTCGGCAAAAAAAGCTCATGGTTGATACATTCGAACAGTCTCGAGTTCAAACCCACTGGCAGATAAATCTCGATCCCCTTCAACACTAATAATTAAGAACGAAGAAGAAGAAGAAGATTTCATAATATTATATGACCTGTCTCAACACCCACCGACATAATCTCCCAGCGTTATATGACCTGTCTCAACACACACCGACCTACCAAACCGTCGCCATGACCACCAGTGTGTCTCCTTATTCATGACTGCATTGGGCGTGGCTATTTCCGGATGTTTCGTCATCCGGTTCCAGAGGTCGCTGGTGCCGCTCTTGCAGACACCCATTAGATGGAAGTAGGGTAGACACCGCAGGGTCTTGTTACCGTCGGCTTCGTGCCAGCAAGGGTTCTTGTAGTTCTTCAAGAGAAACGGCCGCTCCTGGTGGATCATTGTTTCAACGAATGGTCAACATTATATTTTACGTGTAAACAAGTAAAGCAAGTTGAGTAACTCCTGCAGGGGTGATGTAACTCACCATAGCCAGCACATCGTCTGGTGTGTTCTCCCCCCTGAAGTAAGAGTCTCTGCTTATACCCCTCCCGACGGCGGCATCCAGCAGTACTTCTCTGGTCGGGGAGGACACGGCAAATACGTCTAGATACACATCTTTTTCATTCGCTTCCTGCGGGAGGTATTCATGTGTGTATATGCATATATATATATATATATATATATATATATATATATATATATATATATATATATATATATATATATATATATATATATATATATATATATATATATATATATATATATATATATATATATGGAAATTGGAACCCCCTCTCATTGTTAAGTTCTGCCTTCGTCACTGTATCGAACTGTATACCGGTATTTAGAAAGCTATTGTGAACCACTGAAGGTATTCTTTACCTTTTCAATTAAATGTTATTGATTATGGCTTAACTAGACACAACACGGATTCAACGTTTGAAGAAATCGTTCAAAAAGTTATATATATATATATATATATATATATATATATATATATATATATATATATATATATATATATATATATATATATATATATATATATATATATATATATATATACAGACACGCGCCCGGCGCCTGCGGTGAATTATCAATTTATACATACAAGTAGTATATGTTGGTGAACAAGCGCCGCAACCCTCACTAATTTGAACAAAGTCACTTTCGCCTTTTATTATGGTATCACACATACGATGTAGAAAACAGTTAAATAGGTCTTTAAAGCCAAGTAGTAATTATTTTCATAACCTCGACTGTGGGTAGTTTAGTAATGCAGCTCAAAATGAGCTTTATAGATATATATTTTTCCTCTCCCATTTGTCGCCCCTCCCCCTCCCTGCCCTAGCGGCCGCCACACCCGTCCCCCCTCGCTAAGCCTCTTCTAGCGCGCATCGCCCTAATTTGCTTGTAACGTACAGCTGTTATTTTGGAGGTCTATTGGCTATTGAAAATTGGGTTGATCCAAACATCTAGTGACAGCTTGTATTTAGTTCAAAATTACCTACCTAAAATGTTATGGTTTTCTAGCGCACGCGATAAAAAGCATAGTATAAATTACATCAATAATCAGAAAATGGTTTATTGACATTATCCATAGCAACGGATACAATTTTTAAACTGGTAACTGTAAGGCTTACGTGTCATAATCGGCGACACAAGCTATACAGAGGAAACTGACCGAAATAGTTTTCCCAATAACCGGTACTCAGTAATTTAGTTAAATATGAGTTCAAAGATCTATAGCGTTAACATGCGCAGTCAAGAAAGTGAATCAATAGACTGTATAAAATTGCATTGACATCGGAGGCGAAGTTTCTGAAAAGTTTGAACGAAATCGCTGCATTAGAAGTGTGTCAAATTTAAGTTACAAGATTTGCGACAATCCACAAACAAACAAAAGAACAAGCAAACAAACAGACATCGTGAACTAAATAAAAACTTATAAAAACAAGGACGAGCAAGCATCGAAAAATGTTTGGGTTCTGAAGATTGAACTCTTGGAGTGAAAATCCGGGTCATCAACACATTAGTAAAGCCTATGGTACTCTATGGAACTGCTGGTGAGACATGGAGAACAGCTGCCACAAATAAGAAGAAAATAGAATCATTTATAAACTCTTGCATCAGAAAGATCCTTCTTGCCCTACTATGGCAACAGACAAACCAACTGGTAGATGTACATTTAGATGGATTTGTCACACACTCAGGGAACCTATCTCCAGCATTACAAGACAGGCCCTCAAGGCAAAAGAACAAAAAGGGTCGATCAAGGAAGACCTGGAGACGTAACCTGGAAGATAACACCAATAAGATTGGATACACCTGGGGAGTCATACTAGCCTCTCTATATCAGCTGGGAGTCATACTAGCCTCTCTATATCAGCTGGGAGTCATACTAACCTCTCAATATATCATATGGGAGACATACTAACCTCTAGACTCAATATATCGACTGGGTTTAGCCAAAATATGCTGATTTATCGTTTTAGAAGATTGTTCACTTGGTCATGCATGATTTAATCCTAATCCCCGGTGCGGCCTCACATGACCTGATCCTAATCTTTCAATTCAATTAACTTTTTTATAGGATAGATTTAGAGAACAGAGGTAGACGTGTTGAAAGCCTTGGCTCAATGGGTTGATATGGTATAGACACCACACATATCTTATATGGTATAGACACCACAAATATCTTATATGGTATAGACACCACAAATATCTTATATGGTATAGACACCACAAATATCTTATATGGTATAGACACCACAAATATCTTATATGGTATAGACACCACAAATATCTTATAGACACCACAAATATCTTATATGGTATAGACACCACAAATATCTTATAGACATTACAAATATCTTATGGACACCCCGAGCCGCGTCGTATAAGGTACCTTATAGAGAGGTGATTCAACACAGACATGAGCGAGTAGTGATACACTAAAGGTATGACTGAGTGGTGATACACTAAAGTCATGACTTAGTTGTGATACACTAAAGTCATGACTTAGTGGTGATACACTAAAGGTATGACCGAGTGGTGATACACTAAAGTCATGACTGAGTGGTGATACACTAAAGGCATGACCGAGTGGTGATACACTAAAGTCATGACCGAGTGGTGATACAATAAAGTCATGACCGAGTGGTGATACACTAAAGTCATGAGCGAGTGGTGATACACTAAAGTCATGACTGAGTGGTGATACAATAAAGTCATGACTGAGTGGTGATACACTAAAGGTATGAGCAAATGGTGATACACTAAAGGTATGACTGAGTGGTGATACACTAAAGGCATGACTGAGTGGTGATACACTAAAGTCATGACCGAGTGGTGATACACTAAAGTCGTGACCGAGTGGTGATACACTAAAGTCGTGACCGAGTGGTGATACACTAAAGTCGTGACCGAGTGGTGATACACTAAAGGCATGACTGAGTGGTGATACACTAAAGTCGTGACCGAGTGGTGATACACTAAAGTCGTGACCGAGTGGTGATACACTAAAGGCATGACTGAGTGGTGATACACTAACAAATGAGGGTTCATACTGTCATAGGCTGGGGAGAATGCTCTCAATATCAAATACTGCTGCCTTCTATATAGTTCTTGGGTGGAGAAAGGCTGTTAGAAAATCCAGAAAAAAATGAAGCTGAAGGCTAAGTCAATGGGCCTTATGGCGCATAACATTTTGGAAGAAATCGCGCTCAACATTTCAGCTGAGCACGGAGGAAATGAAGAATTACCGACATGACGAGTGAAGACACACTAAAGACAACATGTAGATATGTGACAACTACAAACAGAAACTAACGAGTTGCCTAGTAACAGAGATCACAGGGCTAAAAACCGTATGCGGGTTAATAGCACCGATGTGTTTTTGTTGGGGCGTCAGGGGGCGCAGTTTGAAGTCTTTTGTACTTTCTCGTATACAGAGTATACAGGAAGTATTGTAATCGTACACAAAAATACATGAAATTTTGACTATTTTCACCGTTTTACTTCTTAGTACTTCATTATATACAGAGTATATGGGACTTACTTTAATCGGGCAAAAATTATAAACGCAGATTTATCAAAATTTCGGCGTTTTATGCGTAATCGAGTCGGAAAAACTGGACTTTGCAATTCTGTCCGTTTGTCTCTGTGTGTGTGTATGTGTATGTCTGTAAACACGATAGCTTGAGTACCGTTACAGCTAGTTTGATGAAATTTCATTAACCTATAAGTATGTTATCAAATGTGTAGTTCTGTATCAACTTTTCAGCGCTTTCCGATAAGCGGAAGTGGGACTTATTCTATTTTTAGTTTTTCAAAAGCCTATAATTTTAGCATTGTTTCAGATAGATAAACAAAATTTCACATCTAAGCAAAAGACCTAATTTTCTGCCTTCTTTCAAATTTTGAGTAATAAGTAGTATTTTACGCTATTTCAGATTTCTCAAAAAATCGCATATGAATTTATAAAGTATAAATAATATAATATTCCGCACTATTATACACATGTTGTTTGCCGTTCACTTGTTGTGCAGTTCTTTTTTTTTCTACAAGATTCTATTCTATTTTAAAAAGTTGAATTAAATAATCATGTCAAGATCCGAGTTGCCCTCCCCCGTAGTGTTATATAAGAATATTCGAGAAAGTTTAGGGGAGATCACTCCCGTTTTTTTAACATAGTTTCTAAAATTTGTCGGATTGTAAAAAAAAAAAGTAGAATAAAAGCGATGCTATAATAATGTGAAATGCACCAGAAAATGAGAACAGTGAAAATTTGTCTTAGCGTAACAGTCGATTTTTTTCCCCTGGGGTTTCTCTAATTATGAAATTAATGTCGTTAACTTGCAATTGGACACGGTTGGATTATATCGATCTATTTGTTGATGCAAATCCCCAACACGCCTCAGCCGAGTAAACTCACAGCTGGTGGCTTGGGTATCCCGGATAGATTTCTTCCTGGAGGCAAGTTTCTTGGGTTACCTACATCGTGGGTTATAACTTAATTGCTACCTGGTGTTTTTTTTTTACTTGCATGGCTTAAAACTTAAATTTCATGTAAACACAGGTTGGGGTAATTTCATGTAGACACAGGTTGTGGTAAGGTCATGTAGACACTAATTTGAGGGTAAGGTCATGTAAACACTGATTTGAGGGTAAGGTCATGTAGACACTAATGCAGGGGCGGAACTACAGTGCCGCCAGACCCCGCAATGCGGGGGGGGGGGGGGGGCCATGACGTTTAGGGGCCCAATTCCGACAAAAAAAACAATGAATTTTCTTTTCATAAATAATATTTTTCGCGCACCTTGATAGTGGTTTTGTAAAAAACAAACATGCCTACTATAGCAGTGATTGTTCTACAGTAACAAACAGTAAACACACACTGTTGCGCAGAAAAACATAAAATCTACAAGAGCTGTAGTTTGAAAGATAGTCAAACTTTCAAACTACTTCCATGACTTACTGCCCTTCATTAAAATAGGGGTGCCCATAAAGCTCATTTAAATTGTTTTATACTATGTAAGTTTAAAAGCAATTTCTTCTCTTAATTATTATTTAAATAAAGCAAACTAAAGAATCATTAAGCTATAAAAATCAATGTATTCAAAACTAATAATATCAATACAAAAATTATAAAAATAAACATAACGCGAGAAACCACTGCACAAATCAGCTTACGTGTTTATATTAATTTGACCAGCCTAAAAAATTATATTTCTTTGTCATTTTGCGATAAACATAAAAATGTAATAAAAACACTTGTAAAACAGGGATTATTACGGGCCCCGAAGTGAGTTCGGACTTATTTTTGTCTGGTTCGTTACTTCAGAGTGGTTATACATTGAAATGAAATAGATTAAAATACTCAGGTAATAGACAATTTAAAATTAGAGAAGCACGCTACATATATAAATATATACACATATATATATATATATATATATATATATATATATATATATATATATATATATATATATATATATATATATATATATATATATATATATATATATATATATATTAATATATATATACATATAGGGGGGCCCAAAAATTTTTTTTGCGGGGGAGCCTTTTTTTTCTAGTTCCGCCACTGCACTAATGTGACGATAAGGTCATGTAAACACTAATGTAAGAATAAGGTCATGTACACATTAGTCTGAGGATGTCATATAGACAATACTGTGGGAAATAAGGTCATCTACACACACATAAGACGTGCGGCGTCAAAACGGCCAATGACAAAACGGACCCGTCAAAATGACCCCGACAAATCGGCCCCGACATAAGAGCCCCGTCAAAAGGGTCATATAGGCCCCGTCATATAGGCTCCCGACAAATAGGCTCCCGTCATTTAGGCTCCCGACAAATAGGCTCCCGTCATTTAGTTTCTCGACAAAACGGCCCCCGTCATTACGACTCCCGAAAAATAGGCTCCCGTTATTTTGGCTCACGACAAATAGGCTCCTGTCAATTTGGCTCCCGACAAAAGGACCACTGACAATACGGTTTCTGTAGAGACTAAGTCTCCCGGCAAAACGATCTCATTGAATATGACACCTGCCAGTGGGATCCCCTTCATCAATATTTTTCAGAGTTTATTCAACACTTTTAAGTAATACAGCGTATGCATATCTTGTTCGGCAGGCCTTATTTTTATAATAGTTTATCTATTATAAGAAATAGTATGTTTTAATTTAAGGGTCATCTCTATGACTTCCATAAATGAGTCGGTTATATGCTGTTCCAACTCAGTGTGTGGGGAAGAGGGGTCCACGCTGTACATTCCTACCTGCAGTATGCTTGTAGGTAATCAAAACAAAATGTCTTAATCCTGTAAACATCATGTATATTATACATTTACACTTCTGTGCTCGATTTAAGCAACATATCTTTACTGTTATAAATTAAACATCAAAATTTTAGTATTTGTTGAATTTAGCTTTTAAGGGCTCGATTTGTTTGTGAATTAATGTTGGTTCATGAAAAACAATTTCATTCAGACATTTAAAAGAAGTTATAGTGGTAGTGGAGGTAGGACAAAATGGTTATTTTTATGCCAATAGTGGTCATACGATTCATTTGTCGAAAGCCAATATGTCTTGAGCCCATTTGTCGGGAGCCAATATGCCGTGAGCCCATTTGTCGGGAGCGCATTTGTCGTGAGCCCTGTTTTGACGGGGCCGATTTGTCACAGGCCGTTTTGACAGTACACCCAAATATGAGGATATGGCCATTTAGACAATACCGAGGGTATAAAGTCATGTAAAAACTAATGTAGAGGTAAGGTCATATATACATCAATGTGAGGATAAGGTCATGTAGACACAATTTCAACAAAAAAATAAAACATCGGTCCACTACCGGATACCTACACGACGTAAACAACATTTAGTATCGCTTGCTCCGGTTTAGCCGTAGCTCGCAAATTTATACAGAGATGTATAATATTTTTCGATAACCAGAAACAGAGTTGTAAAAAATGGAATACTAAAATAGGAAGCTTAATTAAAGATAAGCAGCGAGTATAATAAGACAAAAATGGTCAGTACCTGGTCAACAGTTGCGAATTGGTGTTGTGAAAAACCAAGGAGGTTTCCAACTAACACAACAGTTACAATCACAAGTGTGGCACCGAGAACTAGCACACGGACACGCATGTTGGACTCTGGAGGTTGAACACAATGTGTTTGAACATATCACACGCTTATAAGAGCACACAGATACAAGTGTATATATATATATATATATATATATATTTATATATATATAT